GGGGGGGTGATTTCTCACTTTCTGTCTCTCTGTCTAGCTCTGTCTTTTTGGTGAGTACATACGCCCTATAGCAGAAACCTCTCAAAAAAAAAAAAAAAAAAAAGAAAAAAAAGAAAGAAAGAAAGAAAATAGAAAAAAGAAAAGAAAAAAAAAATTCAAGAGCCTGAAGCTACCACTGAACTGTTGACTTTCAAAGACTGCTGAGCCTTTGAGAAAGCAGTAGTAGGGACCAGCAGTTAGTGTAATGGCTATGTCGCTGGACTTCCACGTAGTCGACCGCGGTTCGCATCCCTTTGAGAAAGCAGCAGTAAAGAAACTCTGAAAGGCGGAGGCAGAGCTCAGAGAGACGCTTACCCAGGGAAGCCACGGCCCCGTAATTCTCCAGCATCACGTCCCTGTACAGGGTCCTCTGAGCGGGGGCCAGGCCAGTCCACTCATTCTCAGAGAAGTAGACTGCCACATCCTCAAAGGTCACGGACTCCTGAAACAACACGTGTTTAAACACCCCAGCGCAATCCCAGGACCCAGGCCGGAGAGAAGCGAGGTGCCCGCTGGTTTCTGGAGTCTCCACGTCTGAGGGGACTCACAGGAAAAGGTTTCTGCCCCCTTCTCACAAAACCACAAGGAAGCGGCCACCGATGTTCTCGTGTCTCTGCATCTCTGTCTGGGCATGCACCCTTTGGTTTTCCTCATGAGTCTGCAAACCTTATTAAATTTTTTTTAATAGTTTTTTTTTTGACAGTTTTTTGCCATAGGGCACGTGCGCTCGCCAGACAGACAGAGACAGAGAGACAGAAAGCAAGAAATCACCCCCCAGGGGGGATGGCCACGCAGCAATCCCTTCTCCTCCATCCTCCTCTCGGGATTTTGGGCACTCACGCACACACACCCAGCCTGAGTTTAAGCCACCAGGTCCGGGATGCGAACTGCGGTCAACTACATGGGAGTCCAGCGACACAGCCATTACGCTAACTGCTGGTCCCTCTGCAAAGCTTTATACCCAACCACTGTCTGTGCCCTAGGTCCTGTTCTTTCCCCACAACGTGTCCTCCTTCAGAGGTCACCACGCCGCGAATAACCATCATTTACCCAGCCTGTGCCACGTGGCTCGGAGAAAACCAAGGCTCAGAGAGAATGGCTTCCCCCAGAGTTACGGAAGTGAGACAGAGTCCAGGCCAGTTAGACTCTGGCCCTTGCTTACTGTCCCCAGCACCACCCTCTGTCCTACTTCTGCTGCCCCTATGGTGACCCTTCCTCGTCTCTCGGAAGCCAGGATGCACTCCCCACAGCCCCCAGGTACCCGAGGGGCTGCAGTCCACAAACCAGATCCAGGGACTGCACTGCCTGCACACCCCACCTGGAACACAGGGTTTGCAGCCTCCCACACCGCGTTCTTCCTTAGGGCCCATCTCCAGGACCCTTTTCCATGTCCCTAGGAGCCTTGGCTCCTGCATCTTCGTCCCCTCTCTCTCATCCCCGTCCTCAACAAATACAAACAGGGGCCAGCAGGTAGCGTGGTGGTTATGGCGCTGGACTTCCACATGGCTGACTGTGGTTTGAGTCCTGGACCTGGGATCTTGTTTTCTCTCTTCTCTCTCGAATGCACATGCCCTATAGCAAATTAAAAAAATAATTATTATTAAATTATTTTTAAAAGTAAAAAAAGAAAGAAATACACACAGTACTAATGTACAGTTATCAAGACTTCCTACAATTCCCAGCCAGCGTCCTGTTCAAGGTTCTCACTCTCCATATTATGGAAGAGCCAGGTCTGGTCCACTTCAGGTCAGCCCTGGCCCTGCAGAGACCCCAGAGATTTATCCAGCACTCCAGGGCTCGCAGGCTTTGGCTGGCTCACCTTTGCCTGTCTCACAAAGTCCAAACGCTTGGCACGGCAGACAACGCCTCTCACTGTCAGAGACCAACTTCCCTCCCCGCCTCATCTGTAGCCACCCCCATAGCCCCCCATCCTCTCGCCATTCTGCTGGGAACCCAAACTCCTCTCCCCTCCAAGGGGTGTGCCCTTGCCCCTGCAGCTCCCCTAGTCTTCCCTCCTGCACCCGCGAACTGCAGTTCCCTAAGACCCAGCTCCAACAGGACCAGCTCTCTAAGCCGCTCCCGGAAACCCCGGCTTTTCGGCGCTGCAGTTGCGCTCTGCGAACACCTCTGCTCCGGCGCCCAGCTCAAGCCCGCGCGACCGCACGTCTACACCCGCTGCCAGCTCACGTACGGGGCTGTCAAATACACACCGCCCCCTGCCTGTTCCTCAAGGCCCTCGGCTCCGGGCTGTACCCCAATTCCCGGCCGCCGCCCCGCCCCCGCCACGCCCCCGACCTGGGCCTAGAGCCCAGGGCAGGGCTGATCCCGCCTGGAGGCACCGGCCGCGCCACTCACCCCGCGCCCCCC